AATGCTTTGTTTCTAAACAGACACATACATACTTCTACACCGTTTTTAATCAGTTATCAAGGTATGCCTGCATTGAAAGAGCCAGAGGATGAACATGTGCTCTGCAGCCACTATCCAATTTCAAGATTTGTTATTGCCCACACGTGTTACGCTCCTGGTGGGCCAGACTGGAGGATTGCAAGGAGCAGTGACAAGCCTGTGCTTTGGATGACCTTGCTTTCAACAGCTTGCCCTAAACACAAAAGGGTGCAAGCAGCTTTGTTTTTTTGAGTTATATGTAATCAAGACATTACAGGATGCCCTACTGAAATACCCATGCATTTAAGAGAGTTGGACCTGTGTCTTTGAGGGCTGATGCATGCTTCTGATGGCCCTCCAGCGGGGACCTCCTCCTCCCAGTGTCACTGCTCAGAGTCGCTGCCTAAAAGGGTGTTTGGTGCCAGTGGGGCGAAAACTGGGACAAGACCAATTGGTCTCAAGACTTACCTGACCCAAAACTAATGTAGTTCCATTTCTGAAATCCAAATAGGCACTGACTTGTGTGTCAGCACCTCTCTATAGGCAGCTGCCCATTTGGGTTTCAGAAACAGGAGTACATTTAGGAGAAGTTGCAGAAATTTCTTGCGTCCTAATGGAGTAAATTCTGATTTGCCAAGGAGGTGCTGCCTGACTTCTCCTGCCACAATCCCCATCAGCAGGATCAGACATGCTCTTCCGTAATCAGAGTTTAATGGCTTACAGTTTGTGGGTTTAGCTCTGGTAATTGACTGACTAGAGCTGTTATCTCCCTGCAAAAGCAAGGGAAAATCCCTTTCCCTAAAACTTGGCTAAAGGAAGTTTTATTTGGCATGCGTTAGCCCACACTTGCAAAGCTGAAGGCTGTATACGCAGTCAGTTAGCACGGATCACTTGAAGTATCGTCAACAGATATGTTAGGATTAATGGAGTTGTATGAACTCTGTGATAGAAACATCTATAGGCAAACTTCATTAAATCCACATCTGCAAATTAGAAACCCTTCTACCCTGTTTGGGGTTTGTCGTCTTTAGCGATCTCCATGAAAGGTGGAACAGCTGTGAGAGCTATTATTCAAGCTGATATATAATGATGCAAAAAAAGTAGGGTGTTTAGACAGATGATATAAAGAACAGGTCTGCGATAGGATCATTAAATTCATGTTCCTCTGAGCTCTTAGGAGCAGGCGTGCATCGAAAGGAAGGGCATGAGTGAGATCCTCAAGCCCACTGAGGTCAGTGTTCATAGGAATACCTTCTAGATTGTCATTGAAGTGCCTGTCAGAGGAGGGACTGGGGTGAGCAGGGAGTGGAGGAGAACAGCTTTCTCCTACAGAGCAAAGTCCTCTACAAAGGTGTCCTCAGAAGTGCCATTATGTATTTCAGTGGTTTCCAAGGGAAGTAACATCCTTATTGAGGAGAACAGTAACAGCTTCAGTTGTTTGTGAAGCACTTGGTGCCAGGCTGGTCCTCAGCCTGGAGGAGGCTGATGCTGGAGGACTCTGCCGTCAGCAGAGACATCAGAGCAGAGTGCGTGAGGGATGTCAGTGCCAGGTGCATCAGTGCCTTGGGTCTGGCAGAGGCGCAGCTCGTCATGCCAGCAGTTATTCTGGGTTTGGTGACCAGCCAGTCTTGAGATAGATGACAAATTTTGTCTGGCCTCTATCTTGAGAGGGGCAAGAAGCAGCCGGGTGCTAATGGAGCACCTCCTCCCAATGCCCCGGTCCTGGGGAGGGACAGGTCTCCTGCCATCACAGGGCTGCTCTTCCCCTAAAGGTTTGCCGGTCCTGTCTTAGCTGTTCCTCCCGACTCAGGGGCCAGGACAAGGGGGTTAGTGACTCCCAGGGACTGTGCAGATCTGCATAGAATCATAGAATCATTGAGGTTGGAAAAGACCTCTAAGATCATCGAGTCCAACCGTCAACCCAACACCACCATGCCCACTAAACCATGTCCCTAAGCGCCTCATCTACACGTCTTTTAAATACCTCCAGGGATGGGCATGATATCAGCAGAGAGGCAGAGCCTGGAGAGGTGGTTTTTTCCTCCCCTGGCTCTGGTGAGGACTTGCAGGTATTATTTGGGGGTAAAAAAGCTTTCCTTGCTTTCAGCTCCATGTAGGAAAACAGTCACTTTATCAACCACTTGGCACGGGTGCTTCAGTGCGGCAGAGGAGGCATGCAGAGTCTTCATAATTAATATCAACGACTTTCTCAGAGGAGGGGGTAAAACCTGAGTCCTGGAAACTTAGATTCCCTTCTGGTGCTAAGGGGAGGGGAATAAGGGAGGTATTATTGGAAAGCATTTCTTTTATTTAACAGATGTTAAATAGCACTATACCACTATATCAATCTGTCAATTACACTAATAGGAAACAGTGTATAGAAAAGTTAAGAGATGCGAATTGTACAGGGAAACAACCGCCCCCCTTCTGCAGGATCCCAGCTTTGGGGCCAGGGGCCAGGCACGGCCCCAGCAGATGGTGCGGAGCACAAGGAGCAGCCACACATATGCCAGGCACATGTGGATGAAAAGGGGAAGGAATAGTTGTGGACCATCACAGAAAGAACTTGTTGCAGCTGGACAGGTTCTCTCCCACCCTGTCCTGGTTGTTGTGCTTGAAACCGGATTAAAAAACCCTTTAAAGCAGAAATAATCTTTGGGGTTTTTTGCAATGTATATATGTTATGCTATAGATTTCAGTGGTGGTAATGAGCATTTTCAGAACCTAGCTGGATTAAAGTCTGGAGGGGAAAAACCAAACCTCTAATGGATGATTAAAGGTTGAAAAGCAAGCTTGGCTTTGCAGAACCATGCATTGATCCCAAGTCAGACCCAGCACCGTAACGAGAGATGTTTTTCTCTCGGACACTGTATTGCCTCCTTAAACTTGTCCTGGTGATCACCAGCTACTGCAGCCAGCCGAGTTTGGTATGGTTTTATTAACGTAGCTGCATGGAGCCCAAGGTTAAGTGATGAGAATTTCAAAACAAAACAATAAATTAATAAAATGAATGTGTCACCAGCTGATCCTCTTCTGACCACCATCTGTCCCCTGATCATGTGATGTCTCCCAGCTGGCCACCCAAGAGACAAACCATGCAAGATCATCATCACAACATATGCTGCTATTTACACATTTTTAAAGGTAATAGTTGCTAGGCTGTCATATTAGTAGTTAAAAGTAGTTATTTGGAAGCTAGGGGATTTTTTCTTTCTTTCTTTTTTTTTTTTTCTGAGGAAGCCAGTGACTCAGCAGGTATATTTCTGACAGAGACATGTTCAGGGTTGGAGCAGTGGAAGTTCCTATGTAGAATATATGTGATTTCCCCCCCTTATTCTATGGTATGCTGTCGTGCCTTTTGTAATAAACAGTAGGATAAATAAAACAGAAGACAATGATACTACAAATTTTACTAGTGTACCTTTTTGTAATATTATGTGCTCTCTTTGCCATCTCCAAGATGCAAACCAAGCTGTGCATTTTTAAACTATTGTTAAGATCAAGGATGTGGTTATGAGAAGACTTACAATTTATAGGATACTTAAGCATTAAGGATTGAGGCACAGAACATTTCCTGGGGATTAACGACTGACTGGGTGAGCCTCAGGCCATTAACCCCTGCCTGTCATTAATCTTCAGGAAATGCCCTGCAGTGAGGTCCTTATTGCTGTTATATGCTGAAACAGAAAATAATAATAAGAAAGGTCTGTGGTTTATTTATTTATATTTTACATAACACGGTTATACTGGGACTGTAGGAAATTAACATCTTTCTCTTTAGCTGGCCGTACTGCTTGAATTAACGCAGTTCCTGCATCTCACTGTTTTGTGAAAGATTATTGTCAGATTGCACGAGCGTAAGCGGGGGCAGAATTTGGCCCGCTGCTTGTGTTGCACAGTATTTAATACAATTAATAAGCGGTGCTTTTCTGGTGTAACTGCTGGCAGAATTTAGCCCTATATAGAAACCAGCTCAGAATGCTTGTTTTACAGCAAAGCAATTTATTCACAGTTCTAAGCATCTCGCAGCCTTTTTTTAACTCATTGAATAATCCTTTTAGGTTCCCCATAAAGCAGGTGAAATGCTCCTGCTGCAGTCCTAAGGCAGAACACAGGCTGCATAAATAGCATCTAAATTTTTAGGAATACAAAATACACATACAGTAATACATACCTACAAAGGCAAATCCATAGTGACAGGACTGCAGTGTGTGCTTATCAGCAGCAAAACATCTCGGGGAAAAAAAAAAGTGCCTTTATACTGAAATTGTATATACATTTCTCTCTCTATTTAAACACTTAAATACTATTTTGTGCATGTTCTTAAACCCCGATGCAGGCTCCTTTTTAATGAGCCTGCCTGCTTAAACATTTATTAGCTTGGAGATGTATAGTTTTCATAAAGCTGGCTGAAGCTTTTTCCAGAATATCTTTGCAAAAAAAGCTTTTTTTTTGTGTACATGGCCTCAGTCCTTGCAACCTCCTAGAGAGTCTGTCAAGGCGCAACTTAAAAGCTCGTTCAGGCGACCATGACCCCCTGCTAGCAGATTGTCTGCCTAAAAGGTAAGGGAAAGCTAAAAAAGAAGTAGAAACTTAAAAGTAGCTTCTCAAAGGCTGCATAGATCTTTTTTTTGTTAAACCTAAAGTGTTTAAAAGCTTTAATATTGATGGCCTGTCAACTTTGTCCTGATTCTTTGGCTTTCAGTTAAAAGGTTTTTGTTGTTGTAGCTTATGCAGTTGCTCTGTTGCTATGGAAACGTGACATCAAAATGACGTTTCTCTGTTTAAAAGCTTTTAACTAAATTCCTGCCTGTCAGATGTAGGCCCCATTTTGTGCACTCAAGCTTCAAGCTGTTGCAAAAAGGTTTCATATGTTCTGTTGTCATTCAAATTCTTTATCCACATATGCATGTCTTGCACTACAAAAAACCTAAACTAAAAACTCAATCTATATTAAGTGTCCTCTTTTAAAACCCTTTTAGGTCAGTCAGCAATGGCTGCAGCAGAAATTCCCAGTTACATTGTCTCTTCTCAGACTGAGAAACACAGGAGGGCCAGAAACTGGACTGATGCAGAAATGAGAGGTTTAATGCTGGTTTGGGAAGAATTTTTTGATGAGCTGAAACAAACTAAAAGGAATGCCAAAGTTTATGAGAAAATGGCTAACAAACTCTTTGAAATGACTGGAGAAATTCGCCACGGAGAGGAAATAAAGATAAAAATTACAAATATGACATTCCAGTACAGGTAAGCTTCAGTTAATTCTTTTTATTTTAAGAGATTTTAGCAGGGACAACGCAGTGATTTTTGCCTTTCAGAAAGAAGTCTCCTAGAGGAAATCTGTCGATAAAAGATTAAAGATTGTTCATATCGCTTTTAAAATTCTCTCTTGCCAGTGCTGTTACGTCATTGTTAATTTTTCCCCCATTTCATGTCAAACTCCGGGACAAATTTGTTTCTTTATAATTAGCTAGTGTTGTTATGATGCAGAGGGATGGAAATGTATTTAGTGGGAGAAGAGATTTATTTTTTTTTCTCTTTGAGGGGACTGATTGTGTTAGCTTGGCAGCAGTTCCTTGCAGTGAAACTCCTGCAGTTTGAAGTGGCCAGTGAGAATCGGTATTGCAAGGCGAAGTTTAAAAAAAAAAAACAAACCAAACCCCAAAAACCAGAATAATGTTTTGGGGGGCTGAAGCTCCTAGATTTGGTCTCGTGCGTTGAAGGGTTACACTTCACGGGGCCAAGAATAATTGAATGTCTTATTACTGAGTGACACACATTGCTATAATTATAAGCAGCAGCAGCGAAAGAACTATTATATCTGCAGGGAGAGAATCAATGTGCACCGTCAATACTGCTCCAAAGGAGTCGGGGGGGAGGGCGGAGGTGTCTACAAGGGGATGATAAAGAACAGGCAGTGTCAGTCAGGAGGGGAAGTTGGCTTTAGAAAATGTGAGGCATTTGTGCATTTGTTGTTTGCAGGGGAAAAAATAATTAGAACTTAACAGAAATATTTGCATATCTCCCCCCCCCCCCCCTTCCCCCCCCCCCCCCCCCTTTTTTTTTTCAATTCTTATCTCTGTGAGGAACAAACTGCCTCATACTGGAAATCCTGAGTGGTGATTTTAGCTATGTGCTTGTAATGCAAGAAAATCAAATATGTGACTCTTATTTAATCTCTCCTCAAAGCTCGTATTAATAATAAAAAAGGTTATTACAGCAGGCAACCATGTTAAAACTGCTCGCTTTTCTGTAAGACACCCTTACTGTATTTAATGCAGAGACTACTCATCAAATAGAAAACTAGGCAAAATCCTGTAAACCCCTTAACTTTGAATGTCCTTCTATATTTGTATGGTCCAGAAGCATAATCTTTAACATAATTTCCCATAATATTAAACTTGATGTTTTGTAGCAAATGCTAATGTCTCCAAAATGTTGTACTAACCCTGCTGTAATCCTTACAATTTTCTTTATCCAGACTGTAAATGAGAAAGCTGGAAGTAAGATAAATTTTTGCCCAGCATCACCCAGCAATTCACACTCGGATGCAGATTTAGAAGTCTCAGGAGTTGTTGGCTACCAGGCCTTTGCTTAGTCTGCTAAATCTGCAGTCCTCCCTGCTGAGAAATACATCTTGTGGCACCGAGATTTTACAGGTGTCTAGCAACACTGCACGATGTTTAAGTGCCGTAATTGCCAAGTGGAATAGGTTATTTTTGTCAGCCTTTGTTCTAAATTTTCAGTGTTGTCATCAATCAGACCGTCCGGGTTTTTCTAATTAATGTTTTTACTTTAAAGTTGTATTGGGGGAAGGGAAGAAACAAAATCTCTCACATACATGCACTGTGTGTGTAGGGGGGGAAACGCAGCACTTTTTTTTTTTTTAATTCTTATGTTTCTGCGAACTTCTAAGATTGCTTCTGTTGCATGTTGTCATGCTGCTTTTCTATTTTGCAGTGCATTGCAGCTCCCTGCTTATTGATTAAGACGCTAATTCAGGAGAGTTGGAAAACTGCCTTGCACTGTCACGGTGCTGTTTCATTTTGTACTGTTGAATATGAAATGCATCTTTCTTATTGTTTGTTCTTATCCAAAGCACGCCTGTGTGCTTTGCTTTCAAGGCGAGGTGGTAGAGAGAACAGGGACAAACAAAAGCTATGACTTACAATATCTAGTTTTCTGGGTACTTTTTGTTCGTGTGTGAGGATGGGAAACGTTGCGATGGAACTGTACATGAGGAGTTGCCACTGACTGCTGGCTTTGCTGTGAGGCAGCTGAGTTTTAACCCACGTTTTGGTACCTGGAGGACACTTGAGGAAGATGCTTTTACCTTGGTGTATTTCTGTGCATCATCACTGCACTGTGGCATAAACTGAAAAAGAAGATCCTGAGAGTGGGAAAACGCTCTATTTTGAGATATATTTTGCAATGATTACATAGGGTCAGTAAGCGTGACATGGGAGAACATAGCACCAGCAGCAGGAATGAGGGAGGTGTTCTGCACCCCAGCGGTTATTTCTGCCCACCACTTCAGGACCTTTTACTTTTCTAGGCAACTGTTACAGCATTGCAAAGACGCTATGGTCTGTAGCCTTGCTTTGAGAGTCAGAAATTTACCGGAACATTTAATCAGATAATAGTATTATTTAGCAATGTGCCACAATTTCATAAAAGAAAATAAAATTTCTGTCCTACAAATTGCTGCACATATATCTATGCATGCATGCATACGTATATTTTTTTCTATAAAACAAAAAGCAGTACTTGAATATTTCTACTAGTCCTTTTAACCAAGTTCAGTGTTAAAAGTGGCATGTCTTACCTTGGGACAACTCTTGAAACAGAAATCAAAGATCTGAAACATTGAAAGATCTAAAATAGAAAACCGTGAACATATTTATAAAGGTGCTTTCCAGTCTGAGGATCCCATAGCATTTTAGGATGCAGTTCTGTAAATATTGTTTTGCTTATTTTGCTCAGTGAAAGCCATTACTCATTGTGCAGAAGGAGTCAAAGTCAGCCAAACATATACATAGGTAGGGGAGGAGTGTTTCTTAGCCAGTAATTATTGCAGTTGTTGGAGCTAATACAACTATGTGCATGCTTACGGTGGCACGGAGCTCAGTACGGGCTAACAGCCCGGGTATTCACCCTGGTTCTGGGTACGTTTGGATCCTACACGGAATTTTCTGCTGCCAGATAAAGTTAGTTCGGGTGTAGTTCAGTGCACGTGAGCATCTGTCACAAAAGCAATTTTAGGGTGATCGTATCCCATTCCTCCATATCTGAGGTAAAAACATTATTAAAATGTTAAAATGCCATTATATAAATCTATTTAATGTCATTATTTCCTCCTTGAATTCTTGTGTTTGTTTCTGACTGCTGTATATTTCAACAAGGTGACAAGAGAATGAGAAGATGTTTAGAAAACACAATTAGGCTGAGATGTGGAAAGCTTTCTTTATGAAGAGAAATGGAAAAGTTTGTGACTTGCTTGGAAAGAAGGCAAAGAAATATAAAGGCGTTCTAGAGATGCATAAAAAAATACAGCACTATTTTTCAGAATATAAAGTAGATATTTCTTTTGCCATAATACCAGAAGTTATTTATTGGAATTGCAAGGCAAGCAACATAAAACTAGTTAAAGTCATATAAATTTGTATTACACTGCATAATAAGCATGTGGAACTCATTACCACTGAAAACCGTTGACACCAAGAGAGCGGTAGGTTGTTTTATTATTATTATTTTTACTAAAGATTAGATTTATTAAATAAAAATACAGATATGGTTTGTCTTCAAATTGGATAGAGTTATAAAAGCCATATCGTGAAACCTCGGGATGTTACTAGCTGTTGATGGAAGAGTAAGCAAGCATCTTTATGGGTGAATGTCCCCCCAAAACATGTCCATCAAAATGCTTCCTGAAGTATTTAGCACTGACCTTTGTCAGAAGTGAGGCAGCGGGATGATGGGCTGATCTGGGAGCGGTTCCTGTGTTCCTCTGCGTTACTGTAGTCCAAGTGCATTTGGAGGAAGCTATTCAGGGAAAAATATACCATGACCTGAAGTAATTCTTATTGGAGTCTCAGTATATTAAAGGATCATTTCATCCACTGTGGAAATTGGCTGGGTGGAAAATTCTGCACAGCACCATAGGTGGAAGGAAAATTTTTTTGCAGGTGCATTTGAGTAAAATTCTGCTTTTAGGAATTGCAGTAGAATCTGAAGTATCTGCCGTGGATAGATCAGCCACCACGTTTTTAATGTTCAGTTTTAAAAACACCTGTGTGGTGAGCTGCATGAACCTCCCTATTTATCTGTCTTGGAAGGAGGAAGGGCTGTGTCAAGCCTGCTGGAATTCAAAGTTAAGCTTTCTGATATGCTGGTCATCAAAAGTTTTGCTGGATTAGCACGCCAGCTCTTGCAGTTTAGCATCACTTGGAATACGTGCTGAATTCTTTCTATTATGTAGGCTACTTAGGGCATTCAGCACATATAAACCTATAATTAGTCTTTCTAAAAGAGAGCACTGTCCTGTCACCGCTAATATGCTGATCTTAATGTGTAACAGTGCGCTGTATTTGTTGTTATTCCACTGACGTAATACACACTGGCTTATAAAAAGGAAGCAGGGTTTGTTAAGCTTGCACAGTGGTCCACAGTTTTGACTGATTCCTTCTGATGTTTAAAAATAAGAACGTGTGAATGCAAATTTATTATTTTCAAAAACATCACCCTCCCCAAAGCCTAGGAAACAGGATGCAGCTGTTGTTTTTTGATTTGAATCGCAGTCAATTAATGTTAATGATTGGTAAATTTGAATCAGTCTCATGATTTGAATAGAAGATCAGTTTAATTTTTTTATTTTCATGTGTACATGATCGCAATTAAACATTGTTGCTTGTGTAATCCGTTGCTATACTCTATGACATTAAGCAACTGGAATATTTGACCTTTGCTACAGCAAATGATAAAATATAAGTACAGCCAAATTACTGCAGAAAGTTAAAATTGAATATTTTACCAGCTTTCTCTTTAATTTCAATAATTTATAGCAGATGCACAACTTAGTACTGTACTTTCATACATCTTTCTTTTTCTCACCATTGATTGGTTCATGAACAGTTGCTATTTTTTATTTATTTTGAAAGCTTTTCTCAGAAACCCCTGGAGATGGATCTTGTGTCTGTTCCTTAAGGCAAGTAGTAATATCAAATAGTGTAATAATAATAAAAAACCACTAGTGTTTTGAGTAAAAAGTAAAAAAGAAAAAAAGGGGCAAGTTATAGATTGCTTGCTTTTTATTGACTAAATAATGATGATTTTAAAAAACTCTCTAGAACATAATATTGTAATAATTTTATTTTAGAAGGTGGATTAATAGGCACAGAGAATAAAGTCTGAAGAAAGGTCAACAGCAGCACAAATTACTCAACTGGTGTCTCAGTCCATTCAGTGGAGCATTTTGGCAGTAGGATCTCAAAGCCCCATTAATTTATTCACTTCTCTGCAATAAGACAAGCAACCACCTTTCAGATTAACTGAGTTGACAGTGTTTTTCATACTTCAGCTATTTGTCCACTGGAAACTCGACTTTGATCCCTGAGTTTTTGGAGAAGAGTTCTCAGTTGCCTCTGCTCTCAGCTGGATTTTAATAGAGCCTCATGAAACAGCAACAGGTCTAGATAAACTCAGCGTGCATTTATTTTGCAAGCTCTGCTGACTTTCTCACTTACCTCTGTTTCTTACCCATTTTTTCTGCTTGGCTTGCTCACTCAGGCAGTGATTTGCCCAATTTCAAAGTGTTGAATGTTTGGCTCATCTTCCTCTCTCATTTCTGGACTATTGCATGCCAGCCTTACTATTGTCCCGTTTCTTTTTAACTTCTTCATTTTTTCATTAAAACAAACAAACAAACCAAAACCACAGAGAAACAAAACAAACAAAAAAACCAGCTTTACATTTTGGATGCAACTATGACCTGCTGTGATGAGTTACAGTAATGACTGACTTTGAGCAGTAAATTCATCTTTGCTTTAGACGTCAGTTCTGTCAGGGTTATGCTTACCTTGATGCAGGCAAAACCTCTCAGCTGTCTCACTAGGTTTTCTGGACTACAACTGGCAGTTGTAGAAAAAAATATTTAAAAATCAGCGAATCCTGAAACTTGATATTAATATTACCAAGTTAGCTATTTGGTTTGTTTTTACCAGAAAGCTAAACCGTCACCGCTATTCCAGTGACTGTTCTCCCTGTTTGCCTCCACCTGCAGCGTTCCTACTTCTTTTCCAAAAGACTGACGCTCCTTTCCCCCTTATCTTCTCATCTCCCCATCTATTTCATCCTTTTTTCTTTATGTATGAGCCAGACCCCATACAGGTAGATGGTTGCTGCTGGTGCTGCTTTTAAGCTAACGAAGTTCTCTTGCCTACCTCCTGGTAGTGATCCCTTTTTTTTAGCCCAGGGCTACGGTAAGCGATCAGAAGTGGAAGAATTAGTATCCATTCAATGCATTCAGAGCCAGAGAAATACTTGGTTTTATATAGCTGCAACCCTACAGCTGTGTGGGCAGATAATAAACTACAGCTCTTTCTTCAAAATCATGATAGTTTTATCAAAAATGGAGTCCGGGTACACAGCTGGGCTCAAACATAAAAACCAAGGTACTGACCTACTCAGGCAAAATACCTACTCCTGAAAACTTTTGCTAAGCAGTAAATGAATAAACATGGCAGATGTGGGCCTGCTGGTGAATGGGGTGGGTGATTTAGTGACAGCAGATGCAAGCAATAAGGGTGAGGATACTCAATGCCTTCTTTATCTCAGTCTTCACTGCGCAGGTGTCTCAGGCTGGTGTGCCTGGAGCAGGGTTAGGGGAAATAGCAGTAGTGGAAAAGGATTGAGTCAGGGATCACCTCTGAAAGTTTGAACAGTGAGGGAGGTTCCTGGTGACTGAAGAAAGGCCGCTGTTGAACCCATCTTCAGAAAGGGCAAGAAGAGGAATTAAAAGTTGATCAGCTTCCCTTCAACTCCTGGGAAGATCATGGAGCAAGCCATCTTGGAAGCAATTTCCAGTCACGTGAAGGAGAAAGTGGTGACTGGAGATAGCCGGAATGGATTTACTAAGAGTGAATCATATCTGACCGACCTGCTTGCTTTCTGTGATTAAATGACTATATCTGTGGATGGGTGTAGAACAATGGATGTTTTCTATCTTGACAGTAGAAAGCCTTTTGACATGGTCTCCAAGAATATCCTTGTATCCAAGTTGGGATGTTACACTCCAAATGGACGGACTACCAGCTGGGTGAAAAACTGGCTGGATCACTGGGCTCAAAGGGTAGTGGTTAATGGCTTGTACTCTGCCTAGAGGCTTATTCCAAGTGGAGGGCGCAGGGGTTTATACTGGGACATGCCCTGTTTAATATCAACAACCCAAAGGAGGAGATGGTGGCATGCTTGCTCACTATTTTGCAGATGATGCCAAACTGGGAGGAGTGCAGTCTGCACATGTGAGGACAGGGCTGCCGTTCAGAGGGACCTAGACAGGCTGGAGGAACGGGCTGACAGAGACCTCATGAAATTCAACAAGGACAAATGCAAAGTCTTGCCCCTGGGATGGTCAAATCCCCTGCACTGATACATATTGGGGACGGACTGGCTGGGCAGCAGCTCTGTTGATGAGGATTTTGGGGTCCTGGTTAACGCTAGGCTAAACACAAGTCTCCCCCAGAGCAGAGTCGGCAGAATACCAGCTCTGAGCTTTTCCCGTCCTTTTTGGCACAATGTTTTGCAGTCCTCAAAGCTCAAACCATGGCTGGTGAAGTCTTAATGCAGCTGCTGGACTTCGCACTGGCATGGCTGAGATGTGCTCACACGTGGCTTTTTGCTGTCTCGCCCGTGGGGATGACCGACCGTGGTGAATGCATTGCAATGGGCAGCTGAGGATGGTAATGTTTTAAACCCCATTGCTTGGATATATTTGGGGTTTCAACATGGGCAAACAAATGTGGAATGTAGACTTAGCTAGTAGCTTATAGTGGTTTAATTGATATTTCATTCAAATAGCCTAAACAATTGAACTAAAAATAATCAATATCAAGTGATGGTTGCTGTTGGCCCTGTATTTAGCTATTTTGTACCTGTGCTTGATGGATGTGCATGTATTTGTAGGTTGTGCTAGATATTCTCTGACTATGAAATTGCAGCAGCAGGTTGTGAAACATGTATGAAATTAAAATTTTGAATGCACAGAGGGCATAAAAATACGGAAGACATTGCTATGCAGGACTATGATGTGCATTTCTAAAAAGCTGGAAAAGCTCATCAAGACCTTGCAAGAATGAGAAAATAAAGAAGAATCCTTAAATGGCTTTAAAATCTAAGCAAATCTTTCTGCCTTCTTTCCTCGCTGGTGGATTTCCCCTTACCCTAGGCTGAGAGCTGTTTAAAAGGAAGAACTTCAAGTTCTCACTTTTAAGTTTGGCACCATTTTTATTGTGTTTACATGTTATTTAATTCTATCCTTTGCAGGACCGGTGTGGGCAGGATGGATTCTGAGGAGGAAAAACCTGAAAGGCTTCAAGAAAAGGGGGTGGGCCAGGTGTCCAGGAAGAGTTTTTATCCTTTTTTCTGCAAATGGAAGCCTCTTGCTAGCTGGGAGAATCAGATTTGGTTCAGCTTTTTGTTCATTTGAATGAAATCTGGTTTATGAAAATGGAGCATTTGTCATTGGTCTTGCCTTTCCTGTTGTGTTCTCTTGCTGCATTTTGACTTAGAGTAACAAGATCTCAACTGGGAAAGGCAAATGAAAAGAAAGTTTGGGACTCTAGCCGGGCACTGGAGTTTCTTTGAGGTGTACAATTCATCTGTACACCTCGGTTTTATATTTCTCAGTAAGAGTAAATAAAAGAACAATGGGTACCAAGTGGGATAGCAGTGAACTTTGTGTTAGGACTGAATAATAGATCTCATGATAAGATGCATGTGAAAGATAAAGTCATGGCTGATAGTCCTTTCACTGTAATGTTTTTGTGCATGCTGCTTATAATGCATTTTAACTGGTTTTGTTGGATTTTTTGTAAATTAATGAAATTCTATACTTCTTCCTACACTGATCTTTGTTCTGTAACAGATGAACAGACATCTACATCTCATGGCTGTTACTAGGATGTTTACCTGGGCAATTCAGAGCTTTTAGGCAATATTAGGAAAAGGATATGAATTGTATTTATAGCCACTTGTATTCATCATGCAAAATAAATATTCATTCTTCAAAGCATGGAAGGACAGTGCTGCCCACAGTTTGGTAAAGGCATGCAACTTTTAATCATGGGTCAAAACTAGGAAAAGAAACTGAAAGGCTTCATTGGAGATTAAAAGAAAAAAGTGTCTAATTTTATTCTCATTAAAAGCATTCAGTTTGACTCCTAAATGTGACCAGAACAAATGTTTAGAGGTAGAAGATCTATATAAAAAGTACTTTTACAGGAAAACAAACTTTAATGTTGTATGCCTTTTCTTACAGGAAATTAAAATGCATGACTGACAGTGAAACTGTTGCACCTGACTGGCCTTACTACAAAACCATTGATAGGATCTTATCCAAAGTGACAGACCACAGCGATGTGAAAATGCATGAAAATCAGCAACCAGGTCCTTCTACATCACAGACGGAGGCCTCGCAGTCTCCATCAGCTAAGTCTACACCTCTGTATTTGCCATATAACCAGTTTACATATGAAGGAAGGGAAGAGTGCTTTGAAGATGAACATTCAGAGAGCTCGTCAAGCTTACTTTCTTACAAGCTGAGGTAGCATCTCTTTTTCCCCTTCTCTTGTATTTCACAGAACAAACCGGATCTGCTATGTAAAGGGGACACCCTAGCACATTTTTCTCTAGCAGCTGTCGTCTCTTTTCTGTAAATCACAAATGAGATCTGTTCCCCCATTTCAGCCATTTTGCTGAATTAGGGCATTTTCTTTATTCCTTTATGAGAGACTGGAAGGGAGTAGGAGGACTGGACAAAAAGTCATATAATACTGCCAAAACTCAGCATGCATGTCACTGCTCACATGAGGTAGAGTGTTTGTAATAGGAGTACAGGCATGTTCAAGAGAGTCCTGCCGTGCAATCAGAGATATAACATACTGCTTAGATGATTTTTGGCTTGCTCTAGTGTTGCTTTTAGTATGAGTATGAAATTTCTCTGGCTTCAGCTATTATTAAAATGGTGAAAAGATGCAAACTAAATATTTCCGTGGACACTGAAATGTCCACACATGCAGTTTGAAAGTACATTGCAACATTTTAAATACAAGTGGGAATGTCACTTTTTCAAAGTAAATGCTAGTTTGAGAATGCAAACGTATTTCCTTTTTTGGTAAGATTGGAGTTCTCTGGAAGGCAGCGTTTTAGCAAAAGGCAGGGTTGTACACTTGATACAAATTTTAGACTTTACTGGTCTCATTTTTCATCCAGAGTGGTGTGAAATAAGAGTTGATTACAGTTTTCTGGCAGGAAAAATAGTTGATCCTAGAGATCCTTATCGTGAGTCTTTGAGGCTTTAACTATAACAGTAAAATTATCTGTCAGTCATGCAACTGAGAAGGTGTTGAGCTGGAAGAAGAACCAACCTAACAAGTTCGGATTATTGTTTCCAGGCCTACTCTTGGATGAATAAAACTAGGGTAAATTCATTCAACTATTCAAGCAAATAGCCCTTGAATAGCTGATTATTTAAAAAAAAAAATTTTTTTTGGCAACTGAATATATATTAGGGTGTATAATTCTTGAACTGTAGCAACCTTTTTGTTCACAAGCAACAATTTTTTTCATCATAGTTCATTGTAAGTAGTTGATATCCCTGATACACAGTCTCTCTTGATTTTAGGATCTGCAGACTCCAAGACCACGTTTCTGATGCAATAACTTTTTTCCTAATTCATAGTTTGATTTCCAATAATATTATTTAATATTTAATTTGAAGGTCACTTTTCCACAAACATGAGGTATAGTTTATTCACTAGACTATTTGATAACATCAGACTTTTTGAAAATGCCAGATGTTAAGTTTCTTCAGCTGAGGGACAACTCCAGGACAACACAGATTTTGTACCGTAGGTGACTGGTAGGGGAAGACAGAGGTCACCACACCAGGTTTCATTACAGAGTGTAGACAAATCATCACAGAAGTCAAGCTAATCAACCACAAATGCATATCTATTGTGCTTACAGTTTGCACGTTGACTCCCACTCTCATGTAGAAGCTTTCATTTACAGCTAAACTGGACTTAAGCCACTCTAACTGAATTATTTCTATAGTAATAAGATCTGGAAAATTCAGGCTGTAATGCGTTTTAGCCAGCTTCAGGTTCAGTGTTTTTTTTTTTACTTTGTCCAAGGTAATTAGCCAACCCGTTTTCGTAAAAAATATTTTAACTTTGCTTGGCCAATTTAGAAACTGCAGATAATTTAAATCTAGCCTTTAATGGCACAGGCTGGCTTTCAACTGGCTGCAAGTCCGTATGGCAGGTAATGACGCTTTGTCCTTGCAGTAGCTCAGGCTGCAGTGCTGCTGTTGCCTGCTAAGGACGGCTGTGCAACAGGGTTTGGGAGCTGGAGGGAAGGGCAGGTCAGCTGTCAGTGTGGTAGGACCTCCATAATACGTTGCTCCCTAACTTACGAAGGCAGACATGCTCTCACAGCCTCTAGTATAAAATAATTTCGTGCAATATAATATTGTGCATGTCATTTAACAGCAAGATATGTACATATTCACAAGTTAAAATACAATTCTGCTGTGTTTAAAAAAAGAAAATGTTGAGCGGTAGATACCACTTGAGAGATTAGTATAACATTTCAGGTGAGCATCATGATCAGATTAAAAATTAGATGGTGCTTGTGGTATTAATGGGGCATGTATCTGGAAGAAGGAAAAGTGGTATTATGATAGACACAGGGGGTTTTGAAAAGCTTGTACAGCTTTGGCCTGTTTAGTTTAGCCTGATAGATTAAAAATTAGAAGGTGCTTGTGGTATTAATGGGGCATGTATCTGGAAGAAGGAAAAGTGGTATTATGATAGACACAGGGGGTTTTGAAAAGCTTGTACAGCTTTGGCCTGTTTAGTTTAGCCTGATGTAGTAGGCGACTCTCTTCTGAGAGGTGCGGAGGCACACATTTGCTGACCGGACGCACTCTCTAGAGAGGTGTGCTGCTTGCCAGGGACTCGCATCAGGGATGTCACCAAGAGGCTACCAAGCCTCGTACAGTCCACTGACTATTATCTGCTGCTGCTG